CAGGCCGCCGGGAGTCTGAAGGGGTCCGAGTGCGACGGGCTCTGCCTCGAGCCTCCTAGCTAAGGCCTGCGCGGACGGAACCTCGGGCGCTCTCCCCTCCGCCAGGCATCTGCCACCCCCGGCCCACGGACACCGTCCCACCAGCAGGCCCCGCCGGGTCACAGAGCCAGCTGCTGCTGCCTAGAGCGGCTACAGCACAGACAATCGTTACAGCAGGTAAGTGCCTAGAGCGGCTCTGCAGGAAGTCCTCCGGGAGATCGAGGTGACGCGCTAGAAGAGCTCCGGGGACGGCATCCGTGCCAGGGGGAACGGCGAGGCTCTCTGACTGACAGGCCGCAGAGCAAATCAGTGGCTCGGGATGAGGACGAGAAGCCAATGGGAGAGGCAGGGGGTGGGGCAGTTAGGGGTCCGAGTGGGGGCCGTTGGGCGGAGAGTGGCTCTCAGGCCCTGTAGCCGCTCGAGCGTCCCGGTGGAAGCGAAGCTGTGGTTTTGCTGTCTGCAGCTCGGCAAGCGGCTCTTGCTCGCCCTGGCCGCCCGTGTGGCGGCGGAGGGTCTTCCGGCTGGGCGTGGGGTGATCGCCGACGGGGGTGTGGGGGCGGCGAGGCCGAGCCACTTGGAGTGGAGGGTAACCTGGGCCGTGGCCGCTGCCCATGGGGAGCGAGGGGCTTCTGTAGCATTTGCTGGTATGATTCACAGGGCTGAGAGAGCAGAAACTGAGCAGAACTAGGGAGGAAATGTGGCAACAGCCTCTAAATACTGCAGGCAGGTATTTCTCTAGCAGCGTTACTCCAGCGCTCTTTGATGCACGGTCGATCGGTTGGTTACCAGCGTTAGTGATAGCCAACTCTTCCCAAAGTGTTTTAAGTGTTTTGAATGTATTATACAGTTGAGGAAAACTGCATCAGCAAGTTGGCTCTTAGGGTTCTAGAAAGCAAATTAAAGAGAACTCTGTAAAATATGACTATAAACAGGTTGAGAGGAATCTGTGTTGTTTAGTGAACATAAAATTAAAAGATACTTAAATAGTGGCTTATTTATTTCCAAACAGTAACTATAGTTTTGGTGTATTCATGAATACAGGTTCCCAGGTGATGTTAAGGGCCTTACTTCTTCAGATAACCTTGCTGAGGTTACCTGTGCTAAAGAGGCTTTAGGGGTATTCCATGGCCATGTATTGATGGATTCTATATGGGTTTTTTTTCTGACTTGCAGACAAGAAATTAGGTAGCACTCTGAACAACTTATGGTGTCACAAAACAGGATACAGCCCTTTATGAATATTATGATCTTGTAAGAACAGTTTAGCTGAGTATTTCCATGTCATTTTTCGCAATGGTAAAGCATCTTCAAAACAGATGCCTAACTTCCTTTTCTTAGAACTGTTTGAAGTGAATAAGGCTAATTCATACGGCTGATTTCACAAAATGGGGATTAGATCTATTTATATGAAAACTGCATTTTAAGAAAAATGAGCTAATTTTATCTTTTGAGCTAGGACAGCTCTTTCATGGAAAGACGTTGTAGTGGAAAGCTTATGACCACTAATAAAGGAAAACCAATCACACCCAGATGTTAGATAGTCTACCATATACACCAAGGTACTTGGGGCAATTCTTGCTTTGTTTTTCAGACAAAACCATGTGATCATTTATTTCTGCTGAGGAGTAATTCATAATTGAATCATGGAATTAATCTATTTATTATAATTTATTTATCACTGCATATTTGAATTACAAACCAAGACAAACACTTCCTTGTGCAGGGCACTGTAAACTATATCAGCATTTAAAAATCTTGTGAAGTGAGACTGTGTGTGACATGGGCTTACCAGAGGAAGGCAATAGCGGACCTGCAACTCAAGACTAAAGCAATGTTCTCTTTCTTGGTGTGGCTGATATTGTTGTGATCATCTCTGGGAGCCATGCTTTCTAGGTAAGAGGTGGTTCTCCAGGCTCTTACATGTGTTTTGACCTGACACTCCAGAGGCAGCTCACCATCTGTGTCTGTCACATGAGGTCTCTGAATAGAAGCTTGCAAGTCATCAGTGCTTGGCATACTTAAAGACCCTGTAACAGGAAGTGTAATGGGGAAGTGCTGAACAAGTCTTACATGTAGAATGAGAGTTTTTACATGAGTTCTGGAAGATGAGTTTCAGACTAGTTCATGAATAACACTCTTGATGAAGCCACCTTTCCTCATTCACTCAGTTCTGAAATAAATACTAAAATAATAGGGGTAGGTTATAGCTGAAGTTTGTCCTCATTTATACTCATGTGACACTTGCATTTCCTCCTGCTGTTGTTTATGCTTTGTTCATATGGAGATCATCTGGCCCCCATGCTTCTGAGCAATCTCTCTCTCCTCCAGGACTCAGTGTGGACGAAGACAGCAAATTCATTGTCATGAACATTCTTGCTTAAACTATACTACTGTGGTGAAAAAGGGAGTTTTCAAATATGCAGAATTAAATGGGTAGTAAAATAAGGTTACCTTTCGCTTTGAAAAACTTTAAACACCCCTTCTTCCCTGCAAGCAGTGCTTCAGTTGTGGTTTGCTGGCGATTCAGTAATCAAAATCTTATTTGTAGTGTCTTTGTAGGAGACTGCACAGATTAGGAATTTAGTCACTGCAGTTAATGTTCTTCCTGAAGTGGAAAACCACAACTAAGGGACTGAAATATGAAGAAAGAATGGGGGATGGAAGAAAAAAGAAAAGCTAGAGCATACTTTTGTCCAAGGTTTTCATTCCTGTCTAACCTTCGCTGTCATTTCTATCCTTCTAATTCTTTCAGAAGATGACAGAAAAATGTCCTCTCTGACTACAGAAAAGCACACTCGAATTTCCATGCCACTACTTGAAACGTGGTTATGCTTTTAAAGCAGACATTTTCCATGGCCTTAACTGCTCATAGGTCTGTCCTAAAACCAAAGTAGCCACTGTGCATACCTAGTAAGTACTGTTCATAAACATTTTTATAATGTTTGACCTTAAGAGTGACCTGAAGATTAATGGATATGTTGTATCAGTTTTAATGGGTCTCTTCTCCCTTGGATGCACACATGTGACTCCCATTAGCCTTAATGGGAGTTATATGTGTGCCTAGAGGTTAGACAAGATCTCTAAAGGTGCTGTTATGCTCTGTTGTATTAACGATCTCATAATTGCTGAGGTGCTGCACCTTTGCATTGAAAGCAAACTAATTAAATCAGTCTAGTATAAGTTGGTGTACTTGCATACCTGGCACGTATGTGTGTTTTCCTGTGAGTCCCTCAGTACACAGAGGTAGAGGCTAAATCAAATGTGGAATTTTAATTTTAACTGTGATTTGTCTTCCTTTATAATACTCTAAATTTATTATATTATTATTATTATTTTTGGTTGTTGTTGGTTTTTTTTTTTTAAGATGATTGTTCATGCCAGTCCAGAGGAAGAAGCTGAATGTGGTGGTTTATTTTATCATTAAAGCATGTATTAAGAAAAGTGACTGAACTGATTCTTATTTTTGATGTTCCAAATCATGCACTTTGAAAAAGGCAGTTAGGTCTGGAGGATTAACATGAAGCTTGATGTTGAATTTTAATTATGGCTTTGTTACTCATTTCTTCCAAGTGCCTTTAGACAAAGCATTTCACCTTTCTTTGATTTCTGGGTATGTAAAATATCTGCTTGCTTCTTAGTGTTGTAGACATAAATTAATATCTGTTCTATGCTTTGAAATTTTAAGATTGGTACATCCAGCTGTATTCTGCTGGCATAATTATGACAGCAGAGGAGGAGGAAAAAGTCATAGTAGCTACCTGATAACAGCAGAAGCCCTGGTGGAGATGCAGATCTGTTGAGAGAACTGATTCTGTTTCGTAGTTAATGGTGCGTTAAGGCAGTGCACTGGTACTGAAAAATCTTTGGTGTAGTTTTTAGTGGAAGAGATTGTACGGTAGGCAAATTCACATTGCATAGACACTAGACATTTTTATTAATCAAAAAAAACAATTAGAATTTGACTGTCACTGAAAACTTGTGTACTGTATTACGTTACTATTTCCATATGTTTGAAAATTAACCATGATGTAGTCTTCTTTGAAGATATACATTTGGGGAAAGAATAAATCTTAATATTTACATTCTAGAGGAAAATAAGGTTTTATGTGGTAACCTACACATTTAAAGTTTGTTGGTTAAGATTTTTTATTATTTTATCAGATTAAGGTATTATATACACTCAGTTTCATGATTCAGTTTTGCTATTTGTAAAGTAACAGATTTATTTTTTTTTTCCAAAATAATTATTGTATTTTGTCCTTATGTGGTTCTTTAATAGGAAATTTCCACTGAAGCTGCTGGAAAAATCTTGTGAATGGTTTTGTAAATATATTCATCTTTGTCTCCAGTGTATAAAATATATAGTATAGTTTAATCTTTTTTTTTTTTTCCTCACATGAATTTCAAACAATAATTTTCTTTTTTTTTTTTTTTTTTATTTGTGATTATTTCTCCTTTTTTTCTCTTTCTAAAGAAGAAACAGTTGATTTTATCAGTGTTATATTAAGGCTATGTAGAATATTGTTCAAGTTGAAAATTAAAAGAAAATTTAGATCATTTCAGGTTTTGTATATGTACTTATCCATAAAAAAGAAGGAATAGGTCTATTTTGTAGCCCTGGCAAACTGCATACCTTTGATTTCCAAGTTTATATGTGTGTTTCTATGTACTTGAGGTTCTTTGTCCTAAATTTTGCCTAGATGGCATACTGTAAACTGCCAGAGACAGGGATTGCACCCTATGTATTTTTACAGTGTCAGGCACCTGCCCTCTCATGAAGCTTCTACTGGAAAAAAAAACCCACCTGTTTTTGCTATTATTTATAGGTCAGTCTTCTAAGCAGAATAAGCAACATCTTCAAAAGGATTTAGATTTTTTTTTCTTTTTCCAGCATAACTATGCATA